GGTAGTTCTTTATAGCAGTGTAAGAACAGACTAATACAAAAAAATGGTACCAGGAGTGTGGTACTGCTATAAAGATACCTGAAAATGTGGAAGTTATTTTGAAACTAGATAATGGGCAGTGTTTGGAACTTCCTACAGACTTGGAAGGCTCAGAAGAAGGCAGGAAAATGAGGGAAAGTTTGAAGCTTCCTAGAGATTTGTTGAATGGTTTTGACCAAAATGCTGACAGTGATATGGGCAATGAAGTCCAGGCCGAGATGGTCTCAGATAAAGATGAGGAACTTATTGGGAACTAGAATAAAGGTCACTCTAGATACGTTTTAGCAGAGACTGGGAGAATTTTGCCCCTGCCCTAAAGATCTGTGGAACTTACAACTTCAGAAAGATGATTTAGGATATCTGAGAAGAAATTTCAAGGCAACAAAGGCATGAAGATGTGATCTGGATACTCCTAAAAGCCTATGCTTACTTTCATTAAAAAAAAAAAAAAAGATGGTCTGAAACTGGAACCTATATTTAAAAGGTAAGCAGAGTATAAAAGTTTGGAAAATTTGCAGCTCAACTATGTGGTAGAAAAGAAAAACCCATTGTCTGGGGAGGAATTCAAGCCCATGCTGGCTGAATAAATTTGCATAAGTAATGGGGAGCCAAATGTTATTCAACAAGGCAATGGGAAAAATGTCTCCAAGACATTATAGAGAACTTCGCAGTAGCCCCTCCCTCATATACCTGGAGGCCGAGGAGGGAAAAATAGTTTCCTGGGCCAGGCCCAGGGCCCTGCCACTCTGTGCAGCTTCAGGACATGGTGCCCTGTGTTCCAGATGCTCCAGCTCCAGCTGTCACTAAACTCTGGCCATGGCTTCAAAGGGTACAGGCCCCAAGGTACAGCTTTGGCCATGGCTTCAAAGGGTGCAGGTCCCAAGGTACAACTCTGGCCATGGCTCCAAAGGGTGCAGGCCTGAAACCTTAGTGGCTTCCACGTGATGTTGGACCTCAGGTATGCAGAAAACAAGACTTGAGTTTTGGGAACCTCTGCCTAGATTTCAGAGGATGTATGGAAATGCCTAGATGTCCAGGAAAAAGTCTGCTACAGGGTTGGAATCCTCATAGAGAACCTTTACTAAGGCAGTGCAGGGGGAAAATGTGGGTTTAAAGCCCCCACACAGAGTCCTCACTGGGATACTGCTTAGTGGAACTGTGAGAAGAGGGCCACTGTCCTCCAGATCCCAGAATGGTAAATCCACTGACAGTTTGAACTGTGTACCTAGAAAGGCCACAAGCACTCAACACCAGCCCGTGAAAACAGCTGCAAGGTCTGTACCCTGCAGAGCCAAGGGGTAGGACTTGAGAGGCTACCCCTTGCATTAGTGTTACCTAGATTTGACACATGAAGTGAAAGATTATTTTAGAGTTTTAAACACCCTGCTATCCCTCCCTTAGCCCCCCACCTCCTAACAGACCCCAGTGTGTGATGTTCTCTGCCCTGTGTCCATGTGTTCTCATTGTGCAACATCCAACTATGAGTGAGAACATATAGTGTTTGGTTTTCTGTTCTTGTGTCAGTTTGCTGAGAATGATGGTTTCCAGATTCATCCATGTCCCTGCAAAGGACATAAACTCATCTTTTTTAAGGCTGCATAGTATTCCATGGTGTATTTATACCTAATGTAGGTGACGGAGGGATGGAGGGAGCAAACAACCATGACATGTGTATACCTATAACAATCCTGCAAGATCTGCACATGCACCCCAGAACTTAAAGTGTAATAATAAAAAAGAGAAAGAATTAATGACTGCCCTGCTGAGTTTCAGACTTGCATTGGACCTGTAGCCCCTTTGTTTTGGCTGATTTCTCCCTTTTATAATGAGAACATTTACCCATTGCCTGTACCTGCCTTGCATCTTGGAAGTAACTAACTTTTCATTTTACAGGCTCATAGGTAAAGGGACTTATCTTCTCTTAGATGAGACTTTGGACTTGGGCTTTTCAGTTAATGCTGGAATGAGTTAAGACTTTGGCAGACTGTTGGGAAGGCATGATTGTGTTTTGAAATGCGAGAAGAACGCTAGATTTGGGAGGGTCCAGGGTTGGAATAATACAGTTTGGCTCTGTGTCCCCATGCAAATTTCATGTTGAATTGTAATCCCCCTGTGTTAAAGGAGAGGCCTGCTGTGAGGTGATTGGATGATGGGGGACAGTTTCTAATGGTTTAGCACCGTTTCTCTGGTGCTGTGTCATGAGTGAGTTCTCATGAGATCCAATTGTTTAAAAGTGTGCAGCACTTCCCCCTTTATGTTCTCTCTCCTGCCGCCACCATGTGAAGAAAGTGATTACCTCCTTTTTGCCCTCTGCCATGTTTGTGAGCTTTCTGAAGCCTCCCAGCCTTGTTTCCTGTTAAGCCTGCAGAACTGTGAATCAATTAAACCTCTTTTCTTCATAAATTACCCAATCTTGAGTAGTTCTTTATGGTAGTGTGAGAATAGACTAATGTTCAAAGTTTTCTTCTTGTTTCTTTTCCTTTCTTTTTAAAGAACTTCTTTCATCATTCTTTTAGGAAAGAACTGCTGGTGAGAGTTTCCCCTTCATCTTGATTTCTTCTTTATTCCTGAAGGATATTTTCAGTGTATACAATTCTAGGTTGACAGTTGCTTTCTTTCAGGACTTCGAAAATGGTGTGCCCTTTTCTCTGGTTTTTCTAGTTTCTGATGAGGAACAATTGTCATCTGAATTTTATTTTCCCTACATGTAAAATGTCTTTTCTGTTTTGTGACTTACAACATGTTTTGTCCTTAGTTTTTAAATGTTTGACTATGATGTGTCCTGATGTAGATTTATTTGGATTTGACCTGTTCAGGAATTCTTCCAGCTACTTAAATCTGTAGATATGTGAATCTTGTCTAATTTGGAAAGTTATTAGCTGGGAACAGTGGTATATTCCTGTAGTCCTAGCTAGGCAGGAGGCTGAGGCAGGAGGATTACTTCAGCTCAGGAGTTTGAGACTGCAATGAGCTATGATTGTGCCACCATACTCCACCCTGAGTGACAGAGTAATATCTTATTGCAAAAATAAATTAATTAATTAATAAAATAAAATAAAAATAAAAATGAATTTTTTAAAAAAAAATTATAATAATTGGGAAAGTTTTCAGTCATTATTTCTTTAATTTCTTTTTCAGCCTTATCTTCTTTCTCCCATATTTCTGGGACTGCAGTGACACAAATGTTAGATTTTAACCAGGCACGGTGGCTCATGCCTGTAACCCCAACACTTTGGGTGGCCAAGGCAAAAGGATCACTTGAGCTCAGGAAGTTGAGGCTAGCCTGGACAATACAGCAATACCTCATCTCTACTAAAAGTTAAAAAAAAAAAAATAGCCAGGTGTGGTGGCACATGCATGTACATAGTTCTAATTACTTGAGAGGCAGAGGTAGGAGGGTTTCTTGAGCCCAGGAGGTCAAGGTTGCAGTGAGCTATGATCACACTACTGCACACCAGCCTGGGCAACAGAGCAAGATCCTCTCTCAACAACAACAACAAATTAGATTTATAGTTATTGTCCTAAAGGGCCCTGAGGCTTTTTTTTTTTTTTTCAGTCTATTTTCTCCTTCTTCAGATGGAGTAATTTCAATTGCTTTCCTTCAAATTTACTGATTATTTCCTCCCTCATATTCATTCTGTTAATGAGCCAACCAACTAGGTTTTTAAATTTTGGATAATTATATTTCTGTAGTTACAAAATTTCCATTTGGTTCTTTTTTATATCATTTATTTATTTAATAAAACGATTGTTTTATTTGTTCCAAGCATTTGTTTACAGCTTAATGAAACACTTCTATGATTGCTACTTTGAAATATTTGTCAGATAATCCCAACATCTCAGTGTTAGCACCTGTTGATTACAGTTTTTTAATTTAAGTTGGTACTTCCCTGGTTCTTGTTATAAGTAGTTTGGTTTTGAAACCTGAACACTGGGAGTTTTATGAGACTGTGGGTCTTGTTTAAACCTTACTGGCTTCCTCTGACACCAATAGGAGCAGGTGGGAAGAGCTCCCTCATTAGCACCAGATGGGGGTAGAAGTCCACATTTCCCATTCAGACTATGTTATAACCCACGCAGGGAAGAGTATCCTCAGTATTGCCAGACAGCAGTCAGAGGGGAGGCTTAGCTTCCCACTAGACCTCTGCTGATATCACTGACTGGGAGTAGCAGGAGTGCCTCACTGCTGTCACCACACTGTCCCCACATAGCCTCTACTGACCTCCCCAGGGCCTCTGTACTCCTCAGGATGGCGGCAAAAGCCCTGAGTCTCCACTAGGCCTCCTATAATAAAACCTTTATTTCTGCCAGGTGTGTAGGAAGCACAGCCTTCCCGTGTGGCCTCAGCTGACGCTGGGAAGGCTGATATTGCTGGCTGGCAGAGGTAGAGGTCCAAGCTCTTTACTCTGCCTTCTCTGACACCACTCCATGCAGGGATTGAAGGTCCTGATAAGAGTGGCGGTCTAGGCTCCTCATTTACCTGGGTTGGCCATCGTTTTTTCTGTGGTGTTTGGCAGCAGCAGGAGAGCACTTGTTAACTAAAAGTTTTCTATCTGGTTATACCACCCCTTGTCTGGGCTTTTGTGCAGAGAAAGAAGACTTTTGTTGGGCTCTTTTTGTCTATGTCCATTGCTGTTTCCAGGTTGCTGATTTCTAGAATATAGAAGGCAAAAAAGAAAATCTAGGGAACCCACCGTGACGCTGTTTCGTGTCACATCCTAGACAGTCTGCTTTCTTCTCCCCACCATTCAGAGCCTTCTTATATTTGTTTTACATATAATGCTCAAGGTTGTTAGTTGTACTTAGTGGGAGGAATAGGGAAAACTACAACTACTCCATCTTCCCAGAAGTGGAAGTTCCAACAATTAACTATTTAAGAAATTTATCTGCCATTTATTTTTCTGAAATATTTAAGAACCTTTTAGATTTGCCAATTCCTCTAATTGAAGCAAACGTTTCAGGGAGGCAATCGGTAAAGAAAATCAAGCATCCATCAGCATCATCCCACTGGGAGGAAAGAAGGAGTCCAAAAGAAGGTAAACAATAACAAAAAAATATCTGAAAGAGTAAGTCAAGATGGAGTTGATGGATAAGGGGGAATAAAACTACTCCAATTATCCAGAAGTTACACTAGATGAAAAGCGAGTCTCCAAGATAGAAGCTGAGTATGACAAACAAATGCCGACTACATCAGGTAAACACGGAATGTTTCAGGTACAGAATGCAGATTGTTATTAATTAGAATGAGTACTTGGCAGATTGCATTTTTAGTGACTATATATGGAAGCCATTAAGCCTTAATTGTTGAAAGAAATGGAGAAAAGGAAGAAAGAAAGAGGGATGAGAGAAGGAATGTTTTTGCTATCTTCAATTTGCAGTACTGAACCTAATCATAGATTAGGTTGTGCCTCATGCAGTTCCGACATCAAAAGTGATGTGCAAATGAATATTATGGTGTTTTTAGTCCTGTTGCATGTTTTCCTGGGTCTTAGGTCTCTAAACATGGCTCTTCCTGGCGTCCTTATTACTCTGCCTCACTATTTACTATAGGTAGTGCTTCAGTTCAACAGTGAGGGGTTCCTTCTCCTACAACTTCCCTACTCCACAAACTTAAAAAGTAAGTAATCTCTGACAGCTAAATTCCAAAACAAATATTTAACAGATCAGAACATAATTATGCCAATTTATTATCAAGAGTCAGAATAGCTCTCAGGCTAACAATACCCGATCAGAATTAGAAAGATGCTGGACTATCTTAGATATAATGTGCCAAGAAGAAAGAGAATGATCAGTAATGCAAACATAGTAAACAGCAGGTGAGGAGCAAATTTTGGCCCTGTGTCCTCTGCCCTGTGCACAAGAGAAGATGTTCTATCCCCAGAGAGCAGAAACCTGGTCATGGGGCAGGATGTCCTGTTAAGGGGATGAGCTCATGTGGCTGCCACATCAGACTTCTCTTGCTAAGAGTCCCTGCTCCCTGAGAAGCTCCTCATTGTAATTTGGCTCCCATGAAGATTTGTCTGTGAATAGAGAATAAGCTGGTCAGTGGAGCGAATATCTACTCTGCTTTGAGTTCTTACTGTAAAGTAATAAATTGGTATTTTGTTCTTTAATCATCAGTCCCTGGTAAATTTTGTGTGACTAAGTCCTGTTGCTCAAATACTTCTGAGAACACGAACAATCACATTCCAAGCCTGAAAAGCCAAGGACCGGGGTAAGGCCAACCGGCCTCCTGCATTCCAGAGGAGATCTGCCTAGTGGAGAGCCAGACTTCCTTGGGGATAACTCTGTTATCACTGTTTGTTCGCTTCAAAGTACAAGTAACCTCCATCTCCCTTCAGGTCAGACCCCTGGATGCCTTACACTTACCCACTAGGCACCATCCAGCTGAGACACCAGGTTGCCAGGCTAGACCTTCACCAGGTGCTGCTGCTGGGTCTGTGTCCCAAACTTGGCTTATCCACGTCAGCTACTTTCAGTTCCAAGTGCTGGCCCCTGACCATCGGCCTCCACACACCATGGTCACCTGTACCATGCTTGCGATGTCTCAGGACACAGCACTGGCCAGGAAGCAGGAAACACAATTTTAATAGGTTGAATACTTCTAAGTAAATTTACAACCTCCACAAACATTACAAATCGTTATTATTGCAGACTTTGGATCTGAGGCCCACTGAGAAAAACTTGAAAGCATTCAATACTGTCTCAATATTTCAGTGCATAATGGAACTGAATATGTGGTGAATGTTTACTTTATCAAAATAATTGCAAGCATGACCCATGAATCATGTAAAACAAGTCATAAATCATAGCCTGCCAGTAAGTTTCGTCAAAGCATCAAAACACAATTCAAGATAAAAATTAGCTAATGCTGTTTCACGCTTGAATTCAGCTTCTAAACAGAGAACTGTTTGAGCTCACAGGGACACAGGTAGCTTATTCAATGAATAAATGAGTTTTTGTGTCCAGCAACTGAACCATATCAAATAATGACTGTATAAACCAGGGGGCTTCCCAGAGGTGAGGGTGCTGCCTCTAGAGTTCACCATTATCCCACTTTCTTCCTCCCACTTGTAAGGTAAGGGCCATCCCTCAGGCTCTCAGCAGCTGGCCCTAGCACCTCAGCCTTCTCCCAACTCCGTCCAGATCCAGGGCTCGAGTACTGAGCAATGTCAAAGGGTGAGAAAGAGTCCCCACGTTAGCAGCTACCACCGCACAATACCAGCAGTGGGGCTGGGTTCCTTCCTTCATCCGCTGAAGTCCTCCACCCTGCCTGTTTCCAAATGGGTTCTAAGATGACGGATTAAATGAAAAATACATTCCAGTTCTAAAATGTTATTACTTTTTCACATTCACAGATGTAATGGCATGCTAACCCTGAGAGATATTTCCATTTCAATGGACGAAAACATTTTCCCAATCTTTGGCCAGCCATGCCAGAAAAATTGCACAACTCTCCATGCTTTTGTTGTCTTCCCTACACATTCAAATATCATTTACTTAAACCAGCATGTCTCAATCTGTGTGTCAGAGTCTATGAAGTGTTAGAAAAAGAATCTCAGATTCTAAGAAGTTTGGAAGTGCTCCATGAGATACTTCTAATGCTTAGAGGATCACAGGAAATATTAGTACATTTAGAATCTTAAGGATTCTAAGCAATCTTGTGGTAAAGAACCAATTAGATATTATTTAACCCTGATTATTGATATGTTTACATATGTATGTATGTGCATATGAAATCTCTATTTCCAAAAACTTCATTGAGGTATGATACATACAATAAAATGTACTCATTGTTATGCCACCATTGAATTTGTTTTAACAAATCTATACACCCATGTAACCACTACAACAAAAAATATAGAACATTTCCATCGCTTCCAAAAATTCTCTCATCATTCCCTCTATAAACCCATAACCCCAGTCTAATGATGAGAAGAACATCCCACAAACCCAAATCAAGTCAAGCAACATTGCACACATGACCTGACCAGTATTCTTCAAAACTGTCAAGTCATGAAAAACTAGGAAAGAATGAGAAACTGACTCAGACCACAGGAAGGGAAGGGAACATCACAACTAAACATGGGATCCTGGATTGAACCCTGGAGGAATAAAAAGATATAATGGAAAAATGAGTGAAATCAGAATAAAGGCTGGAGTTTAGTTTAATAGCACTGTCCCTAAGTTGTTCCTCAGTTTTGAGAAATATGTCACAGTAATGCAAGATGATGCCATGCAGGGACAGTGAAAATGGGTGCAGAGCATGAAGAAACTCCCTGCCCACTTGCTATCTCACAGTTTCCAAAGGTCAGGAGTACCAGCAGGTTCAGCTAGATCCCCTGCTCAGGGTCTCTGAGCTGCCATCAAGGTGTCGGTCAGGCTGCATTCCTTCCTGGAACATGGAGACTTCTTCCAAGTTCATGTAAATGTTGGAAGAATTAGTTCCTTGTGGGCTTACAAAGAGGAGTCCAGGTTTTCTGCTGGTTGCTGGTGGAGGCAGCTCTCAGGGTATAGAGGCCCCAAGGTTCCTCTCCATGTGCTCCCTCTCCTAGGTCCCACATAAAGTGCCTGCCCGCCCCCTCCAGAAAAGTGAGACTCTCCCCCAAGACTACTAAGACAGAGTCTTACCTAATGTGACATAATCAGGGGTGTGACAGCTCACAACTTTGCCATATAATCTAATCAAGGGAGTGATGTCCTGTTAGCTACTGATTAGAAGCAAGTCATGGGCCAGGTGCAGTGGCTCACGCCTGTAATCTCAGCATTTTGGGAGGTCAAAGTGGTGGATCACTTGAGTTCAGGAGTTCAAGACCAGTCTGGGCAACATAGTGAGACCCCTGGTCTACAAAAAAAAATACAAATAATAAGCCAGGCATGGTGGCACACCTTGTGGTCCCAGCAACTTGGGAGGCTGAGATGGGAGAATTGCTTGAGCCCAGGAGTTCCAGACTACAGTGAGCTATGATTGCATCATTACACTCCAGCCTGGGAGACAGAGCAAGACCCTGTCTCAAAAATGGGGTGCGGGGAATGGAGTGGAGGGAGTCACAATCCTGCTCACACTCAAAGGAGGCAGGGCAGGTGTATCAGGTGTTACACCAGGTGGCAAAGGTGAGAAGACTCTTATTTTTGTGTGGTGTGTATGGATTTCACCATCCATTTTAGGATGGAATATTAGAGGCACAGAGGCACAAAAGTAATTCAATTACTCAAATTATGTCCCTGAACTTTTTCATCTTCAAGGATCATGCTTGGATTATGTCATGATAATATTAGAGGCACAGAGGCACAAAAATCCATTTCAAGTATATAGATGGTCAATGACAAAGCAAGGGGTAGCCCCTAGGTCTTATAAAAGGAAAAAGTTTATGAAACTATTAGCTTTGCTGCTTATTCTTGGCTTTTTTGTTTTGAATTTTTAAAAATTGTTTTGATGCATGTATTTTCAGTTTGATGAACTTCACTGAATGCCCAATATATTAAACATCCCGTTATGGTGGGCACAAATTAGGAAGTTTATAGAACGAGTATATTATTTTTAAAGAAACTGTATTAGTCCATATTCACACTGCTATAAAGAACTACCTGAGACTGGGTAATTTATAAAGAAATGAGGTTTAATTGACTCACAGTTCCTCAGGCTTAAGAGGAAGCATGACTAGGAGGCCTTGGGAAACTTACAATCATGGTAGAAGCAGAAGGGAAGAAAGCACCTTCTTCACATGGTGGCAGAAGAGACAGCAAGCAAAGGGGAAAGTGCTGCACACTTTCAAAGAACCAGATGTCGAGATAACTCACTCACTGTCACAAGAGCAGCAAGGGAGAAGTCCACCCCCCAAGATCTAATCACCTCCCACCAGGTCCCTCTCCTGACACATGGGGATTACAATTGGAGATGAGATTTGGGTGGGCAGAGTCAAACCATATCAGGAATGAGCACAATAAAACAGTTTGCAATGAAGCTTTTGAAGATTTGGAAACGCATAGATTCAATTTAGTGGGAACGCATATAACTTCCTGTAATGCACATATTCTCATTACTTCTCACACAAATTATGTCCCTGAACCTTTTCATCTTCAAGGATCATGCTTGGATTATGTCATGATAAACAAAATATTCCTCAATTATAAGAGAAAAGTGTCATCTGGCCTATTACAAGTGGCACTAACTCATAATTCAGTCAATTAAAAGACTTTTGCTTAGGGCATATCTATCACAGGACAAAATCATAGTTGTATTGTTCTCAAGGGTAGAAAAGTAGGTTTTTGGTTGTTGTTTTACTTTGTTTAGTTTTGTTTTAAAATGAATGTCATGGATATTTGTGTCAGAAACCCTTGAAGATATTCTATTCTAAAAGAAAAATAAGACTCTGACTTAATCTTAAGAGCACAAGTTTTCATGCAACTTAAAACCCATGTATACTGTAACATAGTATAACAGGCATTTCTAAATGGCAATTAAAACCACTCATTTAAATATTTTTTTTAAAAAACCTTAGCTTCTCCTCTATGCTGCCTAGTCCAAAATAAGAATCACAGGAGAATGCTGAGAATTAGCAAAATAGCTAATTTTAGTTTAAAACATAGTCTTTTATGCTTTGCAGAAAGCGTGCAATTGAAAAACCAAGCACATTATTTTGGAAGCATGTAAAGGAATGAATAGGAAGTGTTGGG